GCATGTATATACCATATTTTCCTAACTGACTCTTGTATCTTTGGGCACTTAGGTTGTTTGTAGATAATGGTACTGTAAATGCTATTGTAAATAGTGCTGCAGTACACATAGGAGAGTATGTTCTTCCAAAGCAGTGTTTTTGCATTCTTCAGGTGGATACCTAAGAGGGGAATTGCTGGATCATATAGTAGATCTATTTTTAATGTTTTAAGAAATCTCCATACTGTTTTCCATAGTAGCTAGATCAGTCTGCACTGCATTCCTACCAACATTGTTAGAGAGGTCCTTTTCCTCCACATCTTAACCACCTCTTGTTTCTGGTCTTTTCAATACAGGTCATTCCCATAGGTGTGAAGCTCTCTGTGGCAAAACTTTTCAATTTGCGAATCCAATTTGTTGATATTTTTTCCCTTTTATTGTTCATGCATTTTGTGCCCTGATATTTAAGAAATATTTTCCAAAGCTATATTTTCTTATAGAACTCTTACTGTTTCAGCTTTGAAATGTGGGTCAATGATCCACTTCCAGTCAATTTTTTTATCTGGTAAGGTTTCAGCATCAAAGTTCATTTTTTTCTTATATATGTAGCTTTCCCATTGCTCTGTGCTTAGTAATGTTTTATGCCCCTTTTGAATTGGCAGCACAGTTAGCTCTGTCCCCACACCTGTCTCTGACTCACTCAGGCCCTCAGAGGTGGTATCTGACAGCACTAGCATTCTATTGCCTTAACTGTCGCAGGTAAGAGAATTTAGTGTTGAGTTTCCTTTAACCCTATAGATCTTTCTCCCTTACTGAGTGTCCATTGTATACCAGAAAGTCTATACTAGCTGCCAGAGTTACACAAAAATAACAAGTGGTCTTTTCATTAAAGAAACAACTTAAAATTTTGGTTTTGTTTTGAATTTTATCAGGTTAACTGAGATAGCTGTATTGTAACTTTTTTTTTTTAAGATTTATTTTATTTGTGCATACAGAACTGGGGTATAGGCCAGAGATGCAGAGGCGGTGAGAGGCTTCACCAGAGACAGAGTGGGGAGCAGAACAGGCTGACTGATAAAATACATGCTGAGGGGAGCAGCGGGTGGGTCAGGAGAGGTCTGCCATGCCATGTGGATCACCTCTGGGGCGGGTGGGGATCGAACTCATGCTTTAGCTTCTTAGTGCTGTGCTTTAACCTCTTTAACCTGCTGCGCCACCAGGGAGGGCCCAATGACTGATTTAGTCTTATTCCCAGATCATGAGAACTAAAGAGATGAAAGACACTAGGCTAGAGTATGATGAGGACCAGGAAGCTTGAGTAGAGATGGCTGTGATCAGATATGTTCTCTAAGACTCACTCAAGGAGTTGCCTCCTAAAACTTCAATATGGTTAACAGCTTGTGTAAGCTTCAAAGCAACAGAGTGAGAATTAAAGTATTAATGGCCTTCAGAATGCTTCTCACCCTGCTAGGAAGCATTAGTCATTTTTCTTTTTAAATCTTTCTCTTAGTGTGTTTTCTACCTCATTCACTCACAAAAATGGAAGATTTTAAATCAAGTGAGACAAAGGTTTATCTTCCCTTCCCAACATTTCAGTGACTAGAGCAGAAGAGAAGAAAAACAAAAACACTGGGTAAAATTCTAGCACTGGTATTTCACTCATTCCCAATGTCTGTAGTGTTTGGTGCTAAAAAACAAAAGACTCGAAATACATGAGCATTTTCAGTAAGGTATCTTGCTTCTTGGGTGCCTCTCCCTTACTTTTTCAGCTCTCTTAGTTTTATGATGTACAGCTTTATAAACCTGTGAACTGTAGGCCATCATGCTTACGTGGCCTAAGCAGCGCTTCAAAACATGTTGAGCTAAATAACTAGCAATTAATAATTGAGAAATTGCCCATAAACCTCTGAATTTCCAGCTCCTCTCTGAAAATGAGGTCTGGCAAATCTGGGTTTGCATTCCTGTATGGCAACTACCAGCTCGGCTCTGGTAACAGCTGCTCCCTTTAGAACAGCCATTTGGATTCCTGTCTCTCTCCAGCTGACCATCCTGACAGCCCCTTCACTACCTGAGTCCGCCAGGGTGTCATGATCTTAAATGTGGCTTCCCATTGAATCATGGGAAGAACTTTATAAGCTACTAATAATTGTTCTACCCAAAAAAAAAAATCTTAACATCTATCTGGGGTGCAGGCTAGGCATTTTTATGATTTTTATAAGCTGTCCAGACAATTCCATTGAGTAGCTTAAATTAAGCACCCCCTTTCAAAGACAGCATCTCAAAGTTTAACTTGCATATGAATCACCTGTGGATCATGTTAAACTGTGAACTGATTCAGTAGGACCAGAATAGGGCCTTTATTCTGTATATCTAGCAAGTTCCGAGGTGGTGCCATTAGTGTCCGTCTGTGGACCTCTCTTTGAAGTAAGGCTTCAAAGTTCTTGTGCTTGTTTTATTTTGTTTTTTAACTATTAACCTAGGTTTCAGATGTAATGGAAGCACATTCTAGAACTCATGTTATTGAATAGCTGGAGCTGTTTCCAAGGGTTCCTCTTAGAGAGGGCACTCTCAGCTTGCTGTGGCCTCTGATTGTCCTCAAGGTATTAGCGCCCTTCACTTCCTTAGGTCTGATATTTAAACTATCTTCCCTGTCACCTCTTGGATATAACACCCCTGTCTCCCTTTGGGAAATTGTGCATCCTCTGCCATTTTGAACTCCTCAGTGGCAGCACCACCTGTCAGCCAACCCATTGGACAGTGGTGTTTTTGGTGCAGTGTTTACCAGTCTGAGCTGCCTAGAACAATAGTTCCCAAACTCTAGTGTATATCAGGCCCCTTGGAAGGCTTATTTCAACAGATTGCTGGGCTCTGCCCCCCAAATTTCTGATTCAGTGAGAACTGTCCTTTTCTAACAAGATTATCTCCCTACTTCAGCAGATGATGGCATGGCTGGTCCAAAGACTTAGAGGTTCTCATAGTCTCAATCAACACATGGCTTCTCTGACAATTGCATTTTGGAGGGCCAGAGAAGATTTGGGAGAGTGGAGTTTAAATATTGTTTATTGCTTTTGTTTTATTTCATAGAACTCAATGGAAATAGAAATACTGACATTAGTGATATGGGGGGAAGGTAGATTTAACTCAGATGACACATACTGCAATTATTTAGTGTTGCGGAAAAGATGACTCTTGCCTTCCATGACAAGGGAATGTGCTATGTGTCTAAATATGCTGGACAAAACTTTAAAAATACAACATATGTTGGAAATAAATTGCAGAAGACTAAGAAAGAGAGCTCAATGAAGGCCTTTGTTATTTTTACTGCTTCCAGCAGTACCTAAGATTCTTTCCAGGAACTCAAAAGGAGGATACAGCTGCTAAGGTTTTTGGGTTCAGAGTTTCTTCAGTCTAAAGGAACTACTATGAACATCATAGCAGTGATGTATGTCTCAGTTTATTGAGTTGGGGCAAAGTAATTTGCCTCATCCACTGCAGGATGAGGCACCTCCTTCCATTTACAAAGCTCAGACAATGTCGAAGGTCCTTTTCACAAAGTAGGTGGGAAGGATGTAGCTCGGTAAACTCATATTTACTTTTAGATAAGTTGAATTCTTAAACGTGTGGGTAATTATTTGTTTTTGTGTCTCCACTTCGAGATATTTTGGAATAGAAACCCCAGTGCCTGAAGAACACAAAGTATAACTTTTCCGTTAGAATGTGAGTCACCTTTAAAGATAATTACATTTTCTAAGGACAGTCAATAAATGTCAGGATGCTATTTCCTTTACTTCCAACGGCCACAGGAATAAGCCACCAAGTTCAAAAAAGTTCGACAAAAGTCGAACTGATTGGTTAAAACATAATATTGCTGCAAAGAAATTATGAAAGCTGTAGCAAGGACCTTAGTGCAAGCTGCCTGAATGGGAGTAGGTCCCGAAACTGCACAAAAGGGATGTGAAAAAAGGAGCTTTTATCCTGTATGGTTTAATGAGAAAAAGCTGAGCGCAAGATGCGGGCATTCCAAAATCTAACCCGTTCGTGGAAGGTTTGAAACAGTATCAGAATACTCCAGAGGAACTTAATTAGTGATTATTAGTTGAGTCTGCATTTGAAAGCTAACGAATTTAGCAGCCAATATGATTCACGTGAGCTTTCTCTGCCTCCCCCCCAAGAGCTCGGAGGGGGCCTTGGTTGGCCTTAGCGAACTACATTAGCTCTGTCATTACTAGATTGGAAGGCACCAGCTAGCGCGCGCCCTCTCGGAAAACTTCCCTCCTCGCGGACTTGCTAACTCCAGTGGCAGCGGCGCCAGGCTCCTGGAGTTCGCGGCAGGCTGCGGGCACTCGTGCCTCCAGTTCACCCTTTCACCCCTCCTTCACCTCCGGCGCCGCGCAGAGTGGCAAGGCTTTTCCGCCCACTCCCAGGCTGCGCAGGCGAGACCGGGAATTGCAGGGCCTCTCCGCTTTGGCAAGTCCTGCAGTCCGAGTGCTCTCCACCCCAACCGCTCTGCTGGGGCGCTGGGGGCTCGAAAGTGAGTGGGGTTTGTTTCAAGACACTCCCATTAGAGACGCGCCCGGTAAGTCTGAACTTGTCCTCGGCCTTCCCCAGCCCCTGCCCTCGCAGGTCCGGGAGACGCCCAGAGGCTCGCGCCGCCTGGGCTAGGTAGCAGCGAGCTGGCCGGCGGCCGCGGAGCCGGCTGCGCAGGGGAGGAAGCGTGGGCATCCCCGCGCCAGAGGGGCGGAAG